CCAGAGCCATGTAAGGAATTAAGAAGGCGGCCGCAGCTATCGGTTCACATGTTTTGCAATTCCATGGACCCGGCATACGACTGGAGCCTGGCGTCTTGGTGTCGGACTTTCATTCGGTCAGCTGTTTGATTGACCCGCATGGATTTCTGTTGAACGACTCTTGGGAGGGTTACCCATCTGTGGCAAAAAATGGCTATTAGCTTGTCAGGGCTGAGGGGTTCCATCCTGGGAGGGAACCCGTCAACAAGCACAGGCTCCTTGTCTGGGTTCCGGTAGGATGATACATCCAACAACCACCTGCTTTACAGGATTCAGCGGCAAAGGCGGTTTCTTAACCGGCCCAGACGGGTGAGTCTGTTTTTTAGTGGACCCCAACCAGGTTGGTTTTCCTTACACTTCTAGGTCCTCCAGTAGAGAGGTTAGAATAAGGGTGCCCTTTTTTAGGTAGTCTATTTTAGTAGACGAACCCTCCCCCAAAAAGGGGTAAAAGGGCACTACTGGGGGACCTAGACTTACGTTTTCCCTTGAACACCACAAAACGGGGGGAGCCTCAAAACAAGACACGCCGAATCTTATCCGTCCGATCGTACCTTTCCAACTAGATCTGAAGCCAGGCCCTTTCAAACAATGCGATGGGGTTGGGTCTGGAAGACTTTTGAGGTCCATTGACCAGGTCTGTGATGTGTCCCATTCAGGAAGGACGCCATTATTTGTGGGCACCTTTGTGGGGACCCCACCAAAAATGGCCCCAAAAAAGAAGTGTCTCAAAATGACCCAACTCAAAAAAAGTGGCAGGCGAATTCGTAGGTAACTGTCTTTGAACCCACCCAAATTTGGGAAGAGCAGATCCTCCCGGCTGTCCCCGACCTGCCCCTCCCCCGCCCCAACGCCAAAGCGCTCTGCGCAGAGAAGCCCTGAAGCCCACGCTTCTCCCGCATCTGCGCGCTTCAGCGAAACGGACCGCCGACTGGATCGCCCAAAGGGCCCTCCTCCGGGCCCCCCCCCCCCCCCCAAAGCGCAACATCTCTGGCGACCAAACCGCTGGGGGTGGGAGGGGCGGGTCAGCCTGATACATCAAGTCCTGAGTGGGGAAGGGGGGGAACTCCAAGGCAGGACCACGCGGAAAGATGTGTAAACCCCAGATGGCCCAACAAAAAGGCGCCACACTTCTTGATTCAACACAGAAAATGGTCCAAAACCAGAAGTGACTAAAGTCCAGGAACTCAGGAAGTTAGTTCTTGATTGAGAAAATCCATAGGCGATTATGGATGGATGGATGATGACACATGATGAAACTGAAGTTGGGTTTTGTCCACAGGACCCGACCACTTTCTGAACTTGGGTTCTGAGACCCTTTTTCTGGGCATCCGGTGTTGTCTCTGCTTGAACTGCACCTCCTTGGTCTGAAGGGGAAGCCAAAAGGAATTCATAGCAACATGCCCAACATGCCCTTCGAGAAAAAAAAAAAAAAACGCCGGGTGTTTCCCCCAAATCGGATCTGCATCCGTAGGGACACAGGACCCAAGGGGCCCTGGAAAGGGAGAGGATGCTTCCAACGGATATCCCTCGTACAAATCGCTGGCATCCCCGGTAGATACTGTACGGTCCTCCAGTAGAGAGGTTAGAATAAGGGTACCAACTTTTTGCTGAGTCTGGTTTAGTAGGGGAACCCTCCCCCCCCCAAAAAAAAAAGCGGTAAAAGGGCACTACTGGGGGACCTAGTGCAAGTCAAGGGGATGATCTTGGCCAAAATTGAGACCCCATCTACTCCCAGCTACTGCAAGGAGCGCAACTAGAATTTAGCACGGGGTTGTGGGGCAATTCAACTAAGTAGTGTCATGATGAGAAAAAAACAAGTCAATGTGAGCCGCCGCCAAAACCCTCATGTGCCAAACTGGAAGTCATAAATTTGTCTGAATCCATCATAACAAACCAAATATAACTCACCAGCCAGGACACCACATGGGTCAAAATCCCGGTTCCCCCCCAGTGAACATCCCAATCCAACCACTAAAATAGGTTCTAGAATGGGTGGTGAATTCACCTACCAACCAATATGGGATCCCAAAACGGTTTTGACCTCAGCCACAATGTGGCTTGGACCCAAGGAAGCCTTTCCGAACTCCACCAAGTCCAGGAGTTGCCTGCAATGCAGCTTGTCCCGACCCGTTTTTGTGGTGGTTTTGAAGGGAGTTTGGGGTGGTTGGTCAAGGGAAGTCAAAGGAGAGACCACCACGCCCTGGGGGTTCCCGCAGGGATTTGAGGGCACCCGTTTGAATCTGCGAATTGGTTGGGAGGAAATCAATAGGAAGACCATTTGGACACGTACCCAAATCAATCTCTCGAACCGTCACTTTCGACTCGTTTCTTTCGTGGGGTGGTTGAAAAGCCAATCAACATCAAACATGTGGGGGCTCTCGGAAATTACCTCTGAGAACTGCCCTTCGAACGCCGCTCGATGTCGTTCTGCGAGCCTTCCGCGCTCTTTTGCGCTCATCTGTTGAGCTGGGAGTGGCTACTTTTGAAACATTGGGGTCAGGAACTTTCCAGGCGGAACTGGAGCTGAAGAGTTGAAGCATCTTCAGCGTGAGCACTTCTCTGAAGGCTTGAAGAGGGCGGTGCTTGGACAAACTGGTCTAGAGCGCGGCTTCCACGCCTTTCCTCATGTGTTCCGTATTTTCGTGTTGGCCCTGGGCCACATTTTACAACACACAAACACACACAACCACACCCACAATATTGTGCCACTATCCCCGGCCGTTCAGCATCTCTCCGCGCACACAGGAAGCCTGAAGATTCGCAATACTAAACCGAATGCATGAGCTTCATGACGATTTTCCTGTGAAACCCAGCCGAGGTTTGAAGACATGTCCAGGCCAAATTTCATACACCCACACAGCTGTTCCGGAAAAGACAGCGCAACTTTCCACGAAAGGGCAACTCTCAGGGGCAAGTACGGGCTCAAACTGGTTTTCCCATTTGGCTAAATCACTTCTCCAAAAGGTCGGCCTGGGTTTCCTTATTCAAGTGCAAGACCCATGGATGGTACCCAAGATACCCAAGCGCCCTTGTTTGGCAAGTCGACAGCCTTTGACTGTGGCTCCTTCCCATCTCCTTCCCATCTCCTTTCATCCATCCATCCATTCATCCATCCATCCATCCAAAGTGCTGACCATCTAACAACACCCCTTCCACCCGCTCCCATCCATTCGGCTCCTCATAGAAGCCTTGACCTGACCCAGGCCAACCAACTCAAAGATCTGCTTCTTCAACTCCTGCAGCCCCAAAGGCTACGCCAAAGACCCATCCCAGCCCAGGAACAAATCAGCTCGGGTCCCTGGTTACCTGGGTTGGGCCTTTGGGGGCTCGGGAGAGGTCATCTATCATGTACAAGAACCATTTGGTCAGTTTTTCCAAACCAACCAAAATTCAGGGTTTCCTGAAAGAAGAGGAGTGTCTCTGCTTTTTCCAACCTAGCGAAAAAACGGGCTATCATGGGTTGAGTGCGTCATGGCATCGCAACACTCCCCTAATCCGATAGCTTGATCCACCCACAGCCTCAAAATGACAAATGAAACCACGGCAACCGAATGGCGAGCTGTCGCACAACCAAATCCTTCGGGTACCTTCCGGTAATGTTCCGTCTTGTGGCTGCCCTCAGATCCCCTGCTAAAAGTTTTTAACTTTCAGTGGGTTAAATGGAAACCACATCTAAACACTAAAATGCTAAAATACTAAGGGGAATCAAGGGGATGGCTGGGAGCCACCAAGGTGTGGCTCGGACATCCTAGATTGCCGTGGTGGCCCATGGATTCGAGTCTTCCGCAGCTGTGTCCAACCAGCGGGGTTCAACCACGGCCAGGCTGGTTTGAGAATGGGTGTGCTTTCTTTGAGTTGGTACCCCTATTTTGGTGGTTCTAACGGAAACCCAAAGGAAAACAAACCACCATTTGGGAGGCGCCCCCCAAACGAAAAGAAACTCCCCAATGGATCTACCCCTGCGTGACACGTGCACCTTTTAACTCAAGCCCCCGCCTGAGCAGAGTTCAGTGCTTTAGACTTGAGCCTTCAAAACATGCCGCTGTGGTGAAAAAGGTGAATGCTACACAACCCTTGGAATAGCGAAAAGCTGTGTTTCTTGCAGCCCCCGAATAAACATGAACAGATCAGACAAACTAACAAGCAAAAACTTGCCAAGAACAGTGAAGGTGGCGGTTTCACAAACTGCTTGGCACATCGAACGGGGCCAAGCAAGCACCAAGTTGAAGACTTTGCCAGTGGCACCTTACGGCTTGGACATGTGAGCGACACATCAACCGCCACCATCCCGGCGTACAAAAAGGTATCTTCCTCGAGTGGTCTCAGGGTCCTCACAACAAATTGTCGTGACATCGCTCCACGTCTCCCGCAAAAGCAGCCGCCTGGACCGTTCATGCGTTATTCTTTTATGCACAGCTTGTTCTTGCCGGCTACTTTAGCGGGTTTGACCCTTCAACAAAGCTGGAAATAAGGTCAACCACAGCTTCTAATTCTTTTTGGGGTTTTCAAACCTTGCCTTTGAGACTCGTTTGGCAGTTTTGGCCCCCTTTTGAGAATCTTTGACCCGAAGTGCTTGAAAAGGAGTGAATCCTTTTTCAAGCGTTCCAACCTCCCCAACCCACCCCGCCCATCGCCCGAACCCCGGTGTTCGAGTTCTGGAAATATCCTCGATGCGCGCCAGGCGGGAAGCTTCATCCGTCCAGCTGGCATCTTGCGCTTGGGACAGGCTCCTCCCAAAAAATGGCTGGGAGCCAGGGAGTGGGTGAGTGGGTAATGGCTTGGCCGGCGAAGGGCTTGGTTTTCAAGAGGCTTGTAAACCCAGTCAACACCAAGGTGTGGTTACCCCCCATTCAGAAAACCAAACAAATCCGGAGGGCATGCGACAAGGGTCTGAAAAACCCCATAGACCAAGGGAAATCAAACATGTGAAGTTGAGGCATGGTTCAACAAGGGGCCCAGGGTTGGAGACATGGCTGTTTGTGTCTGTGTGTGTCCCAGTGTGTGTTTTCCGCCTGTGCCTGTGTGTCTGTCTTTGTCAGTGTTCACCGCACGCGGCCACAAGACCATCGTGCTTTGAAAGTTCGAAGGTCAAACGGGCTCCACTGGGGTTGGCTGCAAATTTCGGCAGAAACGAGGCTGCTGAACTGATGGGCCTTTAAACAAGGGGTTTGCCCCATCCGAACGAGCATGACCCCAGCCTTGTTTCGTGACTTGTGTGTTGGGTTCGGGCAACGCTGTTTGTTTAGATCTTAGCCATCCTTGCCGCCCCCTCCCCCCCTTGTTTGGGGGACAATGAGGGGATGTTGCACCCGCCTTCTTTCGGGTGTTGAGATATAATGAATTGCTTGTTGGAGTTTGAATCTACGGAACTCCCCTCTTATATCGCTTGTTGGCCTGCGCGCGAAAACACTGTGCTTTGTTGCGGGTGGGTCTTGGCTTCTTTTCACTCCCGTGCACAAAAACAGGAAGAAACTGAGGGTTTGGTCAATGAAGTAGAGGTTTACACTTGCACATGTTTCCCTTGACAACTTTTGGCGTCCCAAATCTCAGGATCCAAATGCAAAAGCTCATGAGACATGTTGTTGCATCCAAAGCAACGGAACCCTTCAAGGAAACTAGCCCTAGCCAAATTCTAGCCTGTCCGCAATCTAGGGGATACCCCCTCTATGAGATTCAACTGAAGGTAAAAGGTCAAAACTACCTTAGCTCGGTTTCAGCTGCTTCGTGCAGGAAAAACCTTCAGCTGAGTGACGTCATGTGAGCCCACCCATTCATCAAGTCCACCGGGATTCTTTGGGGGTTGGTTTGACGGGGTTGGTCAAAAAGAGTCGAACCACCCATAAGTATGTGTCAGAATGGCCCCCAGCGTGTACCTTAACTTGACCGAACTCTGGGAAATCAGACCGTTTCAGCTTCATACTTTGTCAACCTGAAAATACACCATTGTCCGAGGACACCCCGATTGAACATCAGCCCAGACCACGGGTACGTTGTGCAAAATACTTCCATTTGGTTAAGACCCCCGGGAACAAAAAGAAAATATTTCCAGTAGTGATAAACTCCTTTTAAAACCAACAAGGGAAAATCATAATAATAATAATAATAATAATAATAATAATAAAACTATTCTTAAGCAAATGGGAATACGGGGGAAACTCCCCGCGCGTCATTTCGACCGGCTCCTCACCGCCAGCATGTAGGTGTCCGCATTGGTGAGAGCTTCCTGGGAGCTCAGCTTCAGGCACTTCTCCTCAGGGAACCGGACCACTTACCAGGCGGTATGGGGGACTAAAACCATCGCCCCAGATACCCTACATACGAAGTACTTAATTACCAGGTTGTAACCATGGACTAAAACCGTTGCCCCAGTGGCTATACCCTACGAATTGTTGGTTGCACATCCAAGTGTTTCCTGGGTCCATGAAAGTGATCACTGAAAGACTCTTCAAACATAGGTCGATGTCTACCGGGCTGTTTCACAATTTAGAGATGGCATGTTCAAGGATGTCAAACTGATACCAAGGTTCGGGCTTTCACCTCTTGCAGGGTGTGACGACCCTGTTTCAACCACGGTAAAAACAACCTCCTTGGCTCCCATGAAGACAGCCAGGGTCTGGGTGCTTAAGCCAAGCTTGCACTGTTTGATTTGTGTCAAACTGTCTCCTTTGGGGCCTTAAGCTCACAAAAGTCAAATGGATGGGTTTGCATTGGTTGCTCCAACAAGTGACATCTACAGTCCTTGTGCTTTGCCTTAGAAACCCCACAAAAAGGGGGTCCTTGACGAGCTCAAAAAAGCACCTGAAGGCAACTCACTTGTTGACTTTGTCAAGAGCAAACCAGGCCAAAATGAAACAATTGCCACCGCGCACATATTGGCCTTTTAACTTGGGTGGAAAACAAAGGGGCCCCAAAAAAGCAAAAAAAGAAAGAAAAAGGGGAGCTAATTCTGGGGAAAGCAACTGGCCCACTGAAACGAGCGCTCCTCGCCGTAGGCCTTGCCGCCCCCTGCCCTCATAGACACCTCGGCGTGGAGCAAAGTGCAAAGTGCACAAAGGCAACCAAGCAACCAATAGGTGTGCAAGGTATTAAGATGATACAGGCAAAACACATATCTGTACAATGTATATACATAAATACATATATCTGTCTATACATGACGGTATGTAGTTCAAGTGTTGCAAATCAGATGTTCCTCTTTTCCCATGGTTGAGAAGCGAGGCCCCCACTAAGCACCCCCTTTCAGGGGGTCCGTTGCTTAGCAAAAGGGGCCACCTGATTTTGCTGGGCACGGGCAGAATCTGAGACGGGCACATCCGCGACAAGAAAGCATGAAAAACGCTGATCTGTGAGTTGCATGGTGCTTGAAGCTGGGCAAATCGCGCGACCCAAGGCAAGCGGAAGTGTTGAAAGTGGGTCGATTCCATGTGGGCGTGCGCCCTCTGGTGACCTTCTGGTGGACATGATTAGACATGATTCCCGCGGATTTATGTCCACCAAGCATTTGAGAGGGCATTCCCAACTAGAACTCATAGCCCTGCGGAAAGCATTGGGGTGTCCTTTTTTGCGTGGCTGTGGCTCGAGACGTCTCGAGACGGGTGGAAACCACTTGAGGTAGCATTTGCAAAGCACAAATGCTCAACGCCCTCGCCATTTCTGGTGGCAACGGCTTTGCCCACAAAGGCCCTGCCCACTGCAAAGAAGTTCCTTCCTGAAGTGTTGATGACGTCAGTCATCTGACTGCCTGAACTACTGATTTATCAGCGTTCCTTGTATCTTATCGTCCGTTTTAAGTTGTAAGGTCGCCCACACCTACACTAAGGGAACCCAGCTGAGACTGACGTGGTCATGGCGAATCCTTGATTAATTGCTTTATGAGGGCAAAGCGGATGCGGCCGGTTGACTGTGGATGCATTAGACTGGCTGCGGCAAACATGCGAGAACGCACCACGCACCACGTGGTTGCGCGCAAACACACAGCCCGGACCAACTTGTGCGATTGTGCGAAGCCAAATGTGCCCCTTTCCACTGAAGGGGACAAAGTTGCTCAATCCCCGCCACCACCACCACCCAACCCCTGCTTGTTGGACAGGGAGTTTGGACATGAAAAAAACAAATTGTTGGGAGGGGTGCTGGTAGTTGGCCGATGGCCGCGCGCTGGCGCCGCTTGCGGCAATTGCTTGCCCTCCGTAGAAAAAAAAAAAAAACAGAATTCGGCCGCGGGGCATCGATGGTACCGAAGTGGTGCGTCATCTCATGGACGATGGTGGAGATGCGCTCGCTGTCCGAAACCTGCGAGACCGGAGCCCTGGCTTTCCGGCACCCGAAAAATGCCCTAAGTCACAATCAAAACCCGGGACTTTAACATGGTTGACCCAGAACCATGGAAGGAAATGCAAAGGCGGCCTTGGTATAAATGGAAACGACTAAAACCTGTGTAACCCCAGGCGGTGAATTTTGTTCCACACCCAATTTCTCACAAACCCCAACCCCAACGTCTAAGGCTACGGGAACTGGGGATTAACTCCGGTTTTTTCACCGGACTGCGGAGAATGGCCCGGACTGGCACAGAAAAAGACACCAAGTGTGAGAATCCTCACGTGGGGTGACTTGCGGAGAATGTGTGCGGCTGTGGCTCCCCTTCTTGAACTCTCATTTTTGTGAAGCCAACACCATTTGGGTCCTCTAATTCAAACCAACAAGTGGACCCACTTTCGAATTGGGGAAACTACCATGAATGTTTCATCAATGTGACAACGTCTTCTCGGATTGTGCCTCTGTGTGTGTCTATTGCGTCTGTGTGAATGTTGTGCCTCTGTGTGTGTGTGTGTGTGCGTGTATATGTGTATGCATGTCCATGTGTTGAGGTGAGCTGTGATGTGTCCCTGTGCTGTCCGGTGCGGGGTATGTTTCGTGATTGTGTTTGCGTGTGAGTAGTGTTACTGTGTAGTGTATAGTGTGGTGTGTGTTGTGTCTTGTGCGATGCTTGGTGTGAGTGTGTGTGTGTGTGCGCGTGTGGTGTGTGCTGTGTGTTCTGTGTCGCGTGTTGAATTGTGTGATGCGTCTGTGTGCGTGTGTGTGTGTGTGTGTGTGTGTCGTTTCATATGTTTTGTTGTGCTTGATGTCCTGAGACAAATTATGTTGCGTATTATGTGTCATAAATGGTGTGATGTGTTATGGTCTGTGTGTTATGTTCTAGCGCAAAGGCAGTGAGGGCCCGGATTCCGCTCGGGCAGAGTTCATAAAGCAGCTGCGCTGGAGATTCCAAGGAGATGAATGGGGGTTCCAGACACGTTGTGGGGCCTCTGCATTTGCCTTCAAGAAGTTGGTCCGCTACATTGCGCGGCATCGCCTTGGTCCGTCGAGCTGACATCAAGAACTTGTTCTTCCAGCTCTTGAACCGACAGAAGCCGCTGCCGCCATCATGGCGGAGTACCTGGACCACCGTGAGGAGAAGCTTGCGCAGACCGTGTGCTCTTCCACAAGCTGCCCGAGCCCGCCGGCGCGCGTGGCGAAGAAGCTGATGATTGCCCTTCTGGGCTTTGGGGGTGTTTCGCAAACTGGACGAGCAGGTGCTGCAGGACACACCCTTGGCTTCGGATGAGGGGGAGCGCGGCGTGGCTGCTTGGCTCTACGGCTTCGAGACGGCGGCGCGCCTCTACCACGTGGCCGTTTTTGAGCGCGCCACAGAAGCCAAGGACTGGCACAGGAGCAGGGCAGGGCCGCTCCACTGCCTCGGGGGCCTTTGCCCTGTACGCCCCCACGAGAGGTGCAGATGAGAAGATGGCGGCGGCAGCGGGCAGCCTTCACCGACCACCAGCACGACAGCATCGGGGCCCTCCGCTCCGCGAGGCCGTAAAGCGAGCCGTGGATGTCGAGGTGGTCGTGCACAAGCTGGAGGGCCCGTGGTACGCGGCGGCGAAGTACCCAACTTGGATTGGAGACTCGAAGATGGAGTTTTCCGGAAACACCAACTGCTCCAGCGCTGCAGTGCTGCCATACTTGGACGGGCGAGGGCAAACACCGTGGACTTTGCGAGGCGGCTGGTCCCGGTCGTACACGTTCCGGTGGAGGGGAGTGAGAAGAGGACCACCTACGAAAGCTTCGAGAAGGGCTTCTGGCTGGTGCAAAACCGGCTTGGGCCAGACCGTGGAAGACCTGATGCATGTGTTGCCCGGTCTTTGAGACAGTCAATAAGAACTACGTGCCGCCGCCCCTCAACGATAATGCCTTCACCGGTCTGTCCTCGTCCGTTCTGGGCGTCTGGCAGGCCCACAGATGGCGGACCTCGACGGCATGCTCTACGATTTCAAGGAGCGTGCTCCGATCACCGATCCCCGCCGACCGCATGGGCTTCCAGCAAAGGCGACCTTAGAGATGTGGCAGCCGAGCAAGGCGACCAAGCTCTTCAAGCACATTCTGGCTTTCTTGAAGGAGCATGTGGAGACGGGGGTGTGTCTGCTCGAGGCCAGCAAGAATGGCAAACAGGTCATCGAGTGCTTCGAGGAATTGGAGCAGGACGGGTGCGAGATCCTCCGCCACATACGGGGACTGGGACTCGTCCTTTACGAGCTGCGTCTCATGACAGGGCCATCTCCGCGACGCCGCGGTTCTGCGAGATGTACTACATCTGGGGAAGCCAGGATTCCGGGAAGGACACCAAGGTGAAGATGTTGCACGCCTTCCTCGGTCACGGCAAGGACAACTACGGGGTGCAGCTTCCGGGAAACTATGTGGTGCAACAGACTCGCTACCTGACCGCGAAGGACGGACCCGCGCCTTACCATGCAAGGACTCTAGGCAAGCGGCTGGCCTGGGCCAGTGAAGTCCCCGAGCACTACTCGTTGGCGGATGACTTCATCAAGCCCTTTTGTGACATGGAAGGTGCGCCAGTCTGCAGCAGGAAGCTCAACAAGGGTCCCCGGGACTTCATGCCTACGGCTTTGCTGGTGGCAACAAGCAATCACCCTCCCCGTGTGACTCGACCGGATGGGATGCTGCGGCGGCTTCGAGTCTGCCAGACAACGGTCAGCTTCACCTTGAAGCCGTCCATGGCCACCGAGGAGCGAGCCGTGGATGGCCTCAAGACCCGGATAAACCGAGGAGAGTTCAAGAAGTACATCTGTGTTATGTTCTGCGTGTTATGCGCTATGCGTGATGCGGTGTGTCTGTCTACGCGTTCGCGTGTGCGTGTGTTGTGTGCTGTGTTGTGTGCCGTATTCGTATGAGGTTGTCTTGTATCGATAATTGTGTTCCGCTGTGTTGCCCGCCAGACACGCATTCAATCTGAATTGAGCAGTGTTTTTTTTGGTGGTTCGAGGCCTATACACTACTTGCATGCCTACGCGAAGGCCTACGCAAACCTCCGCGGCCTGCGAGGGGTGCCTACGCGAGCACAAGTCAGCTTCCAGGTGCCTACGCGAATGCCTACGCGGGCAAATGTTGAGTTCCAGTGTCGAAGTGCACTGTGGCAGCTCCAGCTGGAAAATCGCAACTTTTCAGTTTTGGCAGCTCCGGCTCTAAGATCAGAATTGCAGTACAAGTGAGAAGCCCGCATCTGTCCAAGGATCTGGCTGCCAGAAGAGGTCTACGTACCCAAAATGCCTTGAAAGCCTACGCGAATGCCTACGCAGGGCCTACGCGGAGCCTACGCGAAGACTCCAGAACAAACAGAAGGAAGGCAAAAGAACCAAATTCATTTATACTTGGCAAACAGCACTGAGTCATGATTTGTTCAACAAACGCCTACGCGAAAAGCCTACGCGAGGGGTGACACAACAGCCTACGCGCTGAAGCCTACGCGAGCCTACGCCCCCAACCAGGATTGCCTCCGCAAAGTACATGCAGTTCCCTTTTTGTATAAACCCTTTCATTTGATTAAAAACGCTGCTCAATTGGCGATAGTGCCCCACATGCTTATCAGTCTGCTGTTGACAGATCTTGGCAAGGTCACCGGCGGATGGTAATCTTTCGCGAGCTGAACGCTAACACACCCAGCCCGCCCCTGCCAAGAGCTCT